ACCGGATTTCAGTGCTGACATGGTTTTACGGTAAAGATAGATGTTTGGCCACCCTTTTAGTTACTCTAAATGTAACAAAATTTAGATGTGTTTATTTTTTGTGACTGTAAGCAGAAAATGCAAAAAAAGTGAGATCAGTAAAGTTTTCCCCTTTCCCCCCTCCCTCTTTTTGTTCACTTTTGATAAGTTTGCATGGAGCCTTTCTGGTGCACTTTGTGGGGAACGGAGCCTCGTTCCCCTTTCCAGTGAATCTGAAGAGCTGTACATTGTGTATAATTGTTCATTAGAAAGGACAGTTTTACATGAATATTCATATATTTATTTTTGTTTTAATTTGAAATGCCTGTGCAGGGTTCCTTATTCAAATAAATCAGATTCAAGAAAGAAAGAGTAGTTCTTTTATTTAAGGGTCTCTGATGATTATCCTTTTGGTGTGCTTTTATTTTTCTTGTTTTTATAATTTCTACATTTCTGATTTTGCTGTGTTTTGGCTTTGCTCACAATTGCCCAAATGAAACGGAGGGAGGGAGGGACGGACAAAGGAAGATGATTGTTTTATGTACAATAAATAATTTAAGAAAACACATGGAAAAACTAAGAGAGGCAAGTCCATACAGTCGGTATGGGTTGAGAGATACAATTCTTAGATTTAAGTTGTGTCAAAAATCTAGCACGTTCAACTAAAGAAGTACCCGAGAAAGGAAGGATGGTTTGTACAAATATTGTCCACTGATTGGGAAGTTCCACGTCACAAAATAATCCCTGCTGCTTTGAGAAATGGAACAGCACAGGGGTCACCAAGTGGTCCACTAATAGAACAGGCTAAATTTTTGTTAGAAAACAGCCACTTTGCCACTTCCACAGTAGGGTTGAGTAGAGTAACTTCCAGGACCCATTTTACCTCTCTCTTGCAACGCACACGGCACCTCAGAGCAGACTCCAACTGCGAGCGTGGCCGCTTGGCTTGGCTAATGCCACAGCATTCTCTTCAAGCCTCTTTCCAAGGCCCAGCCGCCCGGCCGTTTGTCCGGAATCATGTTTGCACTTCTTTCTGCGCTGAGCGTCAGGGACGGGCGCATCTTCTGAACTCGCTGCACCCCAGCAGCTGTTATGTTTCTGCAAAAGTCCACCTGCAGAGTTTTTAGGGAGTCTGCATGCAGAGCAGCTGCTTCCAGGGTCTGGTCAGTGATCAGGACGCAGTTTTCCAACTGGAGAGTCTGAAGGCCGGGGCAGCTTTTGAGAAGCAGCACGATGGAGTCGTCTGTCACGTGGCCACATCCAGAAAGCTTCAGCGACAGCAAGCCGGGGCACCTGAAATTGGGAGCATGGAGGGTTAAGGGGGGGGGGGGATTGGGACTGAACGCCAGCCCTGCAGCCTCTTCCTTCACCCTTGACTTCAGGTAAATTCACAGGCCCAGACACGACGGCTTGTAAGAATTGTTCTGAATATTGCAAAGCAAAAGGTGGCCGGGCCTGACTTGGGAGGGATGGTGAAGCCTGAACAGGGGATAAGAATCTATTCTACCTTCAGCATCTCACAAGCTTTTCAGTGTTAGCAAGAATTATAATGGTTGCACTGACTCTGGAGCAAATTTTAAACTAAGCAGAAAAAGACAGATTGGCAGACCTGCTTCCTGTTTCACTCCTCCTGGAGGAATTCCTCCTGCTCCAGGCTATCAAGGATCCTTAGTTACATCTAAAGACTAAACCATAAAACAAGCTAAGCGGTTGTGTTGATGTTAACTCACTGCATAAAGTAGTTTTCAATGGAACAGGATTACAATTTTATTTTATGATTCATGGTGTCTATTGTCCCCGATACTTGTATTGTGCTTAGTTTAATGCTAGTGGTCAGCTTTAAAATAAAATCGTTGAAATGTTGAAAAATGACAACTGTTATGTTGCTTATAAACTCCTTTTGATAAAAAATAAGATCTCATTCCTGCCCAGGATGAATACAAGCGTCACAAAGATTGAGAGCTTCAGTATTAACTATATGGGAGGGTTTTGTGGTCCTTTTGTTCAGACCAGTGAGAGTTAAACATTTAAGTTCCCAAAGTGAGGGAGCAGCAGGAGAAGGGGATAAAAATCACATGTCTCCAGCCAGGGGACTAAGAGCCTCAGCTGAAAATACGCTTGGAATGCCTGAGCATGGAGCAGGAGTTGGTGGTGGCACAAAATGCAAAGCGATTATGACACACAGAACAAGCTGGTTTGAAAACCGAAATGCTTGATTTTACACTTTCAACAATCCCTGGGGAGGGAAAAGCATTGGGGACTTTCCAGGGGCACAGAAGTAGCCAAAGGTGTGTGTGTGTGTAAACAAAACTGCTTTTTCCTCATTTCCTTGGGGGGGCTGGGGGGGACATCCAAAGCCATCCCCAGGAGCAGGGCGTAATGTAGGCTACACCCGCCTAAAAAGCAATATTTTTTTCTTACCTGTTGGAAACCCGGAGCAAAAACTCATCCACGAGGTGCTTGTGTAGGCTGCAGATGCTCCTCTGAAGCTCGTTCTTCATCCAATCCTCCACGTTGCACACCTTGACCTGGCTGGAATGCCAACAGATGGAGAGGTGGCGCAAGGCTGGTCCCAGGACAAAATTGTCCTTGGTCAGTTCGGCCGGAGAGTGGAAGTGGAGCAGAGGCCACAGCGAGGGGTCCTGGAAGACCCACAGCAGCCTGCGGCACGTCCGGCCCAAACTCTTCCTGCTGTTTTTGTCCAGGAAGGAGAAGAGGTGCAGGAGGCATTCCCAGTTCAGCTCCGTCAAACGCATCGCCCCGGGGTGTCTGTGGAGCAACGGCAGCAGGCGCAGCGCGAAGGGCGCTGGGCTTAATCAGCTTCCAAAGGCTCCAGATCCCTTGCACAAATATGGTGTGGAATGGAAGTTATTTTTGGCTGCCAGCTGGGAGAGAAGTTTCAAAAAAGGACAAGGCGCCAGCCTCCCTTTCCTCTCCCTGCGGAGGCAGCCGCATGGCCTCACTTCAGCCAGCCTGGGCTTAGAAGGGCCACTTGGTAATTTAGACCCAGGTTGGCAACTTCTAGGGAGAACCTGTTGGCTTCAGCTCAGGTCAACGGGCCTCACCCAGAACCCAATCCAAGGGCACAGAACCCGATCGGCAGGAACAGGAAAAGGGCCCAGGGTTGGCGTGGCTTCTCTCGACAAGAAGCGGGAGTTGACCGCTGCAGCCCGACTTAGGGGGCGCTGGGCTTCCGAGTGCTCCAACGCTGGGCAGCTGTCACCACCAGGGGCAGCACAAGGCATGGGACAGAGAGCAGGGAGATCCCTTGGGGGGCCCTCGGTCGCCAGACCTGCCTGGGACTGCAGAAAAGGCCTCCTGGCGAGTCCCCTTTGGCGCCCACATCTCGCCCATTCCTTGCGGCTGAGCTACCCACAATCCTGGGTGGGGGGAGTGGGGCCTGCATTTCCTTTCCTGGGGTGTTGGGGAGGGGGACGGTCCGGCTGTCAGCCCCCTTAACCCTTAACCCTAAAGCAGCCCAAACACCCAGCCAGGAAGCTTTGAAAGAGGGAAGGGCCAAGCCTGCCAGCTGTGCCAAGGTAGCTCAGTTCCGACCTCCAACCAAGCAGCCATGCCCCATTTCCCAGCTCCCCCGCCCCCGGCAGGGCCCCCCCCCCCCCCCCCCCCCCCCGCTTCCCCCAGCCCAGAGAAGACAGGACTGCAGAGAGAACGTGGAGAGGAATAATATATTTTGGGAGTTTCAACCATGGTCAAGATCACCAACAAATGCGCTGAAGACAACCACTCACCAAATGTATACATGAAACTTCAATGGCCAACAAAGAGACCCCCCCCCCAGGCTGCACATGAGCCCGAGAACGCAACACACATGGGAACCAGGGAGAGAACGCAGACGGAGCACAAAGGGGCTTCTCTACGGGGCCTTCTGGGGCCCCCAACCTTGAGGGGGGTGCTTTTGCAATGCCAACTTCCAGCAGAAGCAGGCGACGGGAGGGCCCCAGGGAGGAGGCAGGAGGCAGGAGCCCCTCAGGCGACAACAGCCCCCCCCCCCTGGACAGGGAGGGGGAGGCCACCATCGCCATCTGCCTATTTCTGCCAAGGACCCCCTGCAGGGACCGCCCAGCTGGCGTGGCCCGGAGAAAGTCCCCAGCCCACAAGAAGCGGGAGGGTCTCAAAGAGGGGCAAAACCCAATACTGTTTCAGGCTCCAACTCAGAGCAAAATCCAGCCCATCAACAAACCTCCACCAGGAAGAGAAACCCGCTGCGTTGCCACAATGTGCAGATTCACCTGTCCATTGGCAAAGCCAGGCAGGGGTCAAAGGAAGAACGGAGGGGGCAAGGGCCATCGACGCTGCCGAGGCCGGCACCTCAGCCAGGCCTTCCGCCCTCGAGGGGTGCAACTCCTAACGGGGAGGGGCTCAGGAGAGCCGAGTGCGAGTTAAGCGCTGGGCTAACCTGAAGGAGAAAACCCGGCATCCCTCCAGCCGCCTCCTCCAGCAGGGCCACCCAGCCCAGTCGGGGAAGCAGCTCGGCTTGCACCTGTGCGCATCGGAGGGGGCAGAGGAGGCCCCAGGTGCAAACTGAGCCGCTTCCCCGACGGGCGGTAAGAGAGCGCCCCCTGGTGGGAAGACACCTGCATTCTGGCCAAACAAAGAAAAACTCAGCAAAAGGGTCCAATTGATTGCAACGATACACAACATGGGAATGTGAGGTCACAACCGACTCACAGAAAGGAATCCAGCTTGGACATTGTGAATCTGGGCTTCCTTTTCTCCTGGACCACTTAATTCTCTTTCTACCTGTGTGGGGAATTCCGACAGCTCTTCCGCGATTCTGCAGCTCCGGCTCCATCAGCCTGGGCCTGCCTCTCGGGTCCTGGACTTTTATGCCGGGGGAGAGGAGGGGGGGGGGGCAAGGGGGGCATGTTCCTGTTCAGCTACTGGCATATTCCACCTCGTGCCCCCCCCCCCCCCCCCCCCCCCCCCCCCCCCCACAACCCCCTCCTCCTCCTCCTCCTCCTCCTCCTCCCCTTCCCTCCTTGAGGAATCCTGCAGAATTCACGTTTGGCTGATTGGAACAAATGCAACCAGGGACCTTCGTTCTTTCCCTCAGGGAAAAGCAGCCCTAAAAGAGCCTCTTCCACGCAGGTGCCTTAAGAAAAGCGCAGCCTGGAAATCCACCTCCCTGGCTGCTCTTCCAAAGGGGCCCAAGAGGGCCCAAGTCTCTGGGAGGGAAGCGAAGACCGCTCTGCTTCTCCTCTTCTTCCAAACGGCCTCAAGCCGGGAGGTCAGAGAGTCTAAACGCTGCGCTAGCAAAATGAGTAGCCGATCCTGAATTCTGATTTTTGGTACCTTAATTGCAGCAGAATAGTAATTTTCCATATACAAAGTAAAAAGGATTTTTTAAAAAAGAGTTTCTATTACAAACAATGCAGCCACCTACTGAAGTACAACCTACAGACTAAAAAAACAGCCTTCGGAGAAACAAAAATAGCAGCAGTTACATGGCCTGTTTAATGCCGCCCCGTTGGGTCCCCTAACGGAAGACGGGAGGTCCCAAAGTCCGTTTGGGCTGGGGGTGGGTGGGTGGGGGTCGAGTCCTTGATCCAGGGAGACCCGCCGAGGCCGTGGCTGGCATTTCCTAACAGAGCAGCCAGACTCGAGCTCCTCAAAAGCATTCAAGTTTCCCTCATGGAAATGTGCCTTTAGAAAGCAAACCAGAACATGGAGACAGAAAGTCAAAACATAGAAGTCGCTCTTCAACTATGTATAAAATTTGAGTTCAAGCAGCACATCAGTCAGTATCTGCTGAGGTTTTGCCTTTTTTTCTGGCATAACTAACCACAAAGTTAGCTTGTGTCCATTTTTTAATAAATCGGCTGCTACTACCGACAATGTAATAAAACTAGAACCCACAAAAAAATCTTTTAAAAAGTGCACAATGAAATCAAGAGTCTCGGATCAAGTATCTGTGGAGAACTGGAAATCTTTTGTCCATTGGACTTGATATGCACAGGGCAGAGGGAGGCATTAAAGTTTCTCGGATCCAGACTTAGCTTGCCGGTCGACGTAGAAGAGGATGTAGGCCTTGGCTTTCGAGACGGTCTCCTCCTCCGTCAGCGTCACCGTGCTGTCGTTGAAATGGAACCAGCGCCCTTCGTGAGTCGCGTACGCCGTGTAATGCCCAGAACCGACCCTGAAAATGCCAGCGCCCAAAACGTGAAAGGGAGGCCCCCGGGACGGAGTCCGGAGCAAGCGGGCGGCTCGAGGGAAACGGCTGCTCACTTCGGCCTCTTCACAGTGCCGGCCATCCCAGGTGGCCCCCTTGTGCCAAGCCCTTCCTCCCCCCCACCCCCCGGTCATCAAGCCTCCCACTGGTTGAACCCCACCAGTTTATAGCCACCTGTTCACAGAAACGGCCACCCTGGGAAGGGAGGGAAGGCCACAAGGGAAGCCACGCCAGTTCTCGGGTGCCCTGCGAGGCCTTAGGAGCTTCCCCCCCCCCCCCCCCGCCCTCCCTGCCACTCAAGGAGCTGATGCTGCCCTTTGCCCACCTGCCCGCCATGTGCCAAGGCATGCCAGGTTTTCAGAAGCCCAGCGCCCAACCCAGGTCCTTCCAAGCACTCACCCTGACCCATGGTGCACAACCACTGCCGCGAGGTCATAGAGGCAACTGTCTGGGCCGCTGTTTTCCGGCTGCACACGGGGGAGGGGTGGGGAGGAGAAGCCCAAGAAAGTGAGTGCCCTGCGGCCTCGGCCTGCCTGCTTCCCTCCTCTCCCCAGCCATGGGTGCCCTACCTCCAGCAAGTAGCACTTCATGTCCAGGCCGCGCAGAGGGAACTCAACAAAGGTGTCCACCTTGTTCCTCAGGTAGGCCGTCCAGTGAAAGCGTTTCAGGTGCAGGCACAGCACCTGGGCAGTAAAGGGACACACAGCTGACAAGAAGCCCTTTTAAGGGCTGCATTTGTCAAAACCCTAAAATTGAAGCAGCTTTTGCAGCAGCTTCGGGCACAAGAGCACAGATTAGCGTTATTTCTGTGAGAAAGTAAAACAATTTCACAATAACAGCAATTATTTAATATATTTCTATACCCCTTCCTATTAAATCTCAAAGCAGCACACAAAAACTCACAGACACACAACCAACAAAAAGAACTGGGGTAAATGTCCTTCAGGTGCCAAGAGGTTCATCTACAGGTTTTATAAGACACCCCACAGGAGCTCAAAGTCCCTCCACAACCTTCCCCAGAAGACATCACGGAGCACCTGCAGGTTTTCTTTGTCTACAAAAAAATTCCCCCACAATATTCATCAAGTGGAGCTCACGTTGGGCAGCTTCTGCATCCAGAACTTCTTGGTGGACTTCTGCTTCTTCTTGCATTTGTGACACATGTAGAGCTCCGAGTCATCAAGTTCTTCCAGGTCGGTGAAGCTGCGGAGACAATCTAGAGCAACCAAGAGAGCCGGTGAGTCTCTGCCGCGTGGCTCTTCGGGGGGGGGGGGGGGGGAGACCGGAGAGCCGCCTTCTAAGAACCTACCCCGCAACGTGCAGATTGGTCCATTCTCTTGGTTCTTGTTACGTTTATTCCGGAACTGGCTTGGAATATCTAGGGAGAGGTCTAAAAAAGTGAAGGCCTCGTGAAACGTCTAGAAAAGATTCTGGGGGGACCAGAGTTACAAGGGGGAAGTTTCCTTGAATCCTTTCCAGCTGGGCTGGATATTTTCGAACCCTTTACCTAGGAATGGATCAAACTTTCTGGATTCAGTTCCACATATCAAGCAGTTGACTTCGTTCTGAAGGACGCCTCCGAAGATGGTGGTGACAACGGTGGAAGCGCCATTGCTGAAGGAAAGGCGGGAGAGGCCCATCAGGACAGCAGCCTCCTCCCGGTGCCTCCTGCCCCGAAGCTCTCAGCCCCCCACTGCTCTTCGGGCCCTTCGCCCTTGTGGCAAGGCAGCCCTCAGGGAGAGGCCCCTCCTCCTCGTTTCTACTCAGCCAGGCCGGCCGCCCAAGGGGCCCCCCATCAGCGAGGGCCCTCCGTTGCGGGAGACCAGCCCAAGCGAAGCCACCGGAGGAGCCCGACTTACACGCAGCATCTACTGCCGGCCGTGAGGGCGGGCTTCTCTTGGAGAAGGGCTGGGTGAGCAGCACCGTTGAAGCCTTCCTGCAGTTCCAGGTGGAGGTGGTCCAAGAGGTAGCGCATGAACTCGTGGGCGTCTTGCTGCTGGTATCCCCTTAACAGAAACAAACCCAGAAAGAATCGCTAGGCGGGAAGGCCCAGGCCGCCTGGAGCGCTTCTGAAGCCCTTCTGGGGAAGTTCTTGGCTATTCAAGGTCAGAATCTTCCCAGGGTGCCAACTCAGGTGTTCCAACTTCAGGGCACTGTGGGCCTAACTGCACATGTGCAGCATGGGGACACACTTGGTGTGTGCGTGTGTGTGTGTAGGAAGCTCCTCCGCACCAAGCCTTGGGCTGGCAGGAAGGGGGAAAGTAACCCGAGAGCAACCAGACGCAGGGAGGTTCCCCTCTCCCGCTGGGGGAAGGGCAAAGCCCCCCAGGGCTTCCGTCCAAAGGCCAAGCCACCCTCCAGAGCTGCTCCTTGAAAGCAGGCAGACCTACCGGAAGTTGGGCATGATTTTCCAAACAACGTAAAACAAGGATTCCGGGCTGAAGGCGGTTTGGCTTCCTTGCCACAGAGCACAGAGGGTCTTCCGGAATTCTTCCACCAGGGAACTGCCGAAGAAGGAAAGCAAACTGTAGCCCCACATGGACCCTCCCTCTACAATTGGGGAGGGTTGGTTTTTTTTTAACCCTACGTTTGTTTTCTTCTTGCATTCAGTCATGACAGGTTCTCAGAGGCTGCTCTGGCCAATCCCTGCAGCGTTCTGGGCGAGGGGTTTCTGGAGGGGTTTGCCTCCTTCCTAGGGCTGAGGGACAGGGACCGGCCCAAGCTCGTGGCTTCGTGCCCAAGGCAGGATTAGAACTCAGGCTCCCGGTTCCTGGCCTGATGCTTTAACCACTACGCCTCTCTCTGTCTCTCTCTCTCAGCCTACTACCAGGATGCCCCTGGTTCCAAATATCAAGCAAGGGAGGCCTCTTTCTCCGCTGGCCGCTTGAGCCGCGCTCGCTCGCTCGCTCCTCCCGGGCTCAAGCACTCACACGCTGCTGTCTCCTTGGCTCCGCGTGTGGTACGTCCGCCGGCCTGCCGTCTTCCCGTTCCGAAGTTCCACCGCCGGCAGCTCTTTGAAGTAACAGCAGAACTGTGGAATGTTACTGCAGGGAGAAGGGGAGGTCAGCCAGGTGTGCCGGAAGGGCCACTCGTCCACCCAGAGCTCTCACAGGGCAGGTGGCACTCCTGCCCACGGCTGCCCTGGAAAGGAACCTGCATGGCAGGGACAGAGGCCAAAGAGGCGGATCTGGCACGGACAGGTGGCGCCTCGTGCACATCCCCAGGGCCCCCCCAGGGGAAGGGCCCCATTCCCAAACAAGGGGTACCTGAGGGACTGAAGGATGGCGTTCATGAAACACGTGTTCCCCAAGTTACGAAGGCCTGTAGCACACAAACCTGTGGGGCTCCCCTGCGAACCAGGAAGGTCATCGTGAATTGACATACGATAAACCCCCAATTTTCCTCAACCTCCTTCTAAGGGGATGTTACACCATGACTCAAAACAGACTTAGCCAAACTTCTAAAGTATTTAAGTCTTTCATAACTGTTAGTCCATTACAGAGCATCTAGAGCACAGAAAATGATAAATCCAAACTTTAAACTGTTAAGTACCCCCGACATCCCAGATATACCCCCAGCCCTTCCCCCGGGGCCTGTAGGAAGGACACCCAGCGAGGGGCTCTCCATGTGCGATGGAGGCCTGGACCCTCCACAGCCGGGGTCTCTCTGCCTTCGCTTAGGGCGAGGCCACCTGGGAACTTCAAGGCTCATTATCTGGCCCGTTCCAGACTAATATTTTTCTCAGCTGAAAGTGAATTATTCAGACTCTTTGCCACTCAGAATTGGGCCCAAGTGCTGCCAACGCTGAAAACCTCCCTGGTGGGGCCAATTAAATGTTAAACCCTGAGACTGGGTTTTTTTTTTTTTTTGGAAAGGAACTTCACTGATCAATGAGATTTGCTCCTTCCAAGTCCAGGGCACACAGAACACTGAAACCACACTTAAACCACACTTACGTTCACTTTTAATAACTTGCTGTTTACAGAGGCACTTTCAAGGAGTTTTCTTTTCCTATGTCGATCTACTGTAAAACCTGAGCTGTGGAAGGGAATAAACAGACAATTCAAGACATGTTTAACAATACAAAGAAAGCAAACAAACCTAGTTACAATATATACCACTTAAGGCAGCAAGAGTTAAAGGTGTTTTATCATAAAGAAACGTTTTTAAATGGCCTATTGCACCTGGAATGCTCCTTCACCCACAAAGAGATTCATCCTTGTAGCGTCAAAACCAATTTCTGTAGCCCCTACAGAACTACCTGAAGCCTGATTTTATTTTCAGTTATCAGATAATCTCTTCATTAATCGGATGAACACCCTAAAGGCTTTGATCTAAAGCAGCCTCTTTTCCAAAAAGATTGGACTAACCCTCCTCTGGGCCTAGAAGGGTCGTTTCATCTCCCCCAACCTTTCAAAGATCCTCTCTCTCTGGGGCCTCTTCTCCAGCCTAAGATATTCCCACCGAGGAGGCGCCCAGCTGGGCATTATTCCCTGCGGGGGTGTCCCAGGCAGAGGCCCAGGTCCCAGAGGGGAACCTCTGCCAGGAAGCAACCGCTGCCCCCATTCATTTCAGGGGGGCTTCCTAGAACTCTCCTCCTGGCCCCAGGGAAGTGGGGGGAGGGCCAGGCACACATCCACTTGCAGTGCCTGAGCCCAACCCCCAAGGAGGGGCTGCTCACAGGGGAGCCCCCACCCGCCTTCAGGTGAAGAGAAGCCGCTTACTTTTCCAAGTTCTGTAGATGCTCCCGGACTTTCTGCACCAGGCCTAGCTTGGTGTCGTTGACCACGAAGTCATCACAGCGATAACTGTGGAGAAAACGTAGAACAATCAACGAACGGCCATGGCCGGTTCCCTGGAGAACCCGGGCTGCGGCGGCGGCAGCGGCGGCGAGTTAAGAGGGGCCGGTGAAGAGGCCCAGACGTCCAATGTCACCCCTGACAGCCGCCTCCTTCGAGGAGGACAAAATGCAGAGACAGTGGAAGGAAACCACAAAGGTGCATCCTTTGGCTCCAGGCCCTGAGCGGAGCTTCCCCAAATCCCAAATCCTTTTCCAACCAATTCTGTGATTCCTGGGCAAAGATCCTGCTTGGTCTTTCTGCCAGTCTAATACTTTCGGAAACTGAATTGCTCTTTCCTTGCGAACAGCCCCAACTGGACTCGGCTGTGCCTTCCACACTACGGCCCATAACTGCCCGGCTGGAGACACTGTGGAAGCTGCACCAGCTGAGCAAGGAAAGGCCAGGGGAGGACTTGCAAAGCAGCTGCCACCAACGAAGACGGTGTGAGGTGGACCAGAGGCAGAACGTTCTCCCAATAACAAGCGTTCCCCTTTTTCTTTACGGCCAAGTGTTTTCCTTCTCCCCTTTTCTAGCGACGCTTTTCAGACGTGCATCTTTGGATTCCTAATTACGGCTCACCAAAAGCCCGTCATGCGCTGGAGACCAAATGCAAGTGAAGTGGATGCAGGGACCCTGTTAATGCAGTTGACTTTGTAGTCTTTGGTTCACAGAGGCAAATGAAGATTCAGCAACTACGGGGAAGACGACATCACCGGTGCCAAGAGCAAGAAGGAAGCATCGAAGCTGCCACAACCCAAAGGCTCCGTTGGAGCATTTAGATAACAAGCGAAGGCACAGAAGTGGTGTGTGTGTGTGTGTGTGTGGACCCCCTTCAAGAGATGGGGAATTCCTCTCTTTGCGTGGTTTCCAGAAAGTGGAACTTCTGTCCTCTCCTCTTTATGTTTGATAAACCACCATTTTCTGCTTTAGCCAAACTATAAACTTTCTTCTGCCAAGCAGCATCAGACACGGATTTGAACTGAGCTCCTTCCTACCTTCTTGGTCAAAGGCTCCATCCCCCGTCAAAGGGGCCTTCGGAAGGCTCGCTCGGACGGGCATTTGGAGCTCCGGTTTAAACAGAACAGAATCCCACATGAAAAAGCACAGAATTTCAGCCAATTAAGCCAAAGGACGCTTAACATTACTTGCCGATGCCAAGAGGTTCGAGTAAACATACGAGGAGGAGGAGGAGGAAGGGGAGGCCTGAAGGGGTGGAGGGAGCCAGAAGCCACTTCAGCCTCCCACCGTGGGGACGCCCCCTTGGTCTCCACACACACACACACACACACACACACACACACACCGCTCGACATCATCCGTCAGGGGGCCTGCTGACTTACCAGTAGGTACTGTAACTGCTACAATCCATGCACACCATGTGCTGAACCTTTTCTTGCTTTTCTGCTTTCTTGTGGTTCACTAAAGCAACTTGAGCATCTTCATAATGCTTCTTGGCGTGGCCGTTGACATACCTGACAGGATGAAGAGAGAAGCAAAAGGGAGACATTTTGGAAGCCTTCCCCACAGAAGGGCCCACTGTCTCGGACATGTAAACAAGCTCGGAGGGCAGCAGCTGCATCGCCCCCCAATTTCTTTCAGCACAACTCAGCAGGTTTTCAAAAACAGATTCAAAACGCTGGAAGTTTTGGAAGGGTTCTTCTGTCAGTTTTGTTGGGTTTATAGTCCTGCTGCTGATCCAAAGAAAAGGAATGTCCAATATTTTGAGGAAAACCAATAACAGGATGGTTTTACCTCCCTTGCCATTTTACACGGCAATGTGAAGTATTTTTGCCTCGGGACACCCCCAGGAGTCTGGAGGAGGCCTGCGGTTTGCCAGCGGCCCCAGAAAGCAGCTTCCGGGGTCTGTCTGTCCGTCCGTCTGTCCTGCCTGCCGCAAAAGCAGGACAGCCTCAGGGGAACTGGGGACAGGTGGCTGTTCCCTGGCCAAACCCCCAAGCGCTTCTAACAAACGTGGGTAGCGGTGGCCTCTTCTCCCTGTACACCAGGCAACTCTGAAGGAAGGGACGGGACTGCGGACGGAATCCTAGCCAGCCTTCCCTTTCGGAGGGGCTCGTGGGCCAACCTGCAGGAGGAGTTCAGTCCAGACCGAAGGCCGACGCCAAAGTCCTGCTCAAGACGTTGTTGTCCCAGGACACAAAGGAGCGGGGGGGGGGGGGGGCGCTGTGAAAATAGCACCTCTGGGAGCTTGTGTCCCACACTCACCTCCCACAGTGGACACTTGAACAAGTCAGGCAGATCCAGGGACTTTTGTTAGAGCGGCACACTATTGGGGCAAGAAGAAATCAGACAAAAATCACTCACAAAGATGACATTTCTGCTCCAGGAAACAACTGTCACAGTAAGAGTCGTGCTGCGTGGACTTTAAAATTAAATATTCAGTAATTATATAAGCAGGAAGGTGGGATTTAAATTTAAGTTTTTCCATATGAAATATTTTCAGTTGCATACTTTACTCCCCCATCGTATTTTAGCCACTTGGGTTTGATGTATTTAATGCTCGGTACTAAAAATAAAAATAAAAGAAAACCAACCGCATAATTAGCAGCATAATACAGTTATAGTGGGTGTATTATGAGTTATTCAAACTCAAAACTCTAAACTGAGGAATCAAAGCGATCACTGTACCAGATTCGCAACTGATCCACCACAGCTAATTGGGCAACCAATATATTTCAGGCAACACCAGGGCCCCTTGGCTACTGTCCACATGGGAAAGGCAGGCAGGGTCCATGAGCCACTGGCTAAATCTCACGGAATCTCCAAATTGGCCGTGGCTTGAGGTGTAGCCACTGTCGCTTAACATCTAAAAAAACAAAACAAAAAGGCTTGACTTTGAACGGTTGAAACCCAAGCCTTGTCTTAATCTAAAGGTCTTTCTCTCTCAAGTGCAGAACGCTGCCAACCCCGGTGTTAATAGCCAGTTGTCAGTTCTTATACACCACCAAGCTGTAGTTAAGCTCCATTAACTTGGTGTGCTGGAAAAAGATGTAAGAGATCGCACTTTTCACAGATGGCTAACTGGTCTTAATTATTCGATTCTCCATTGGAGAACTTAGTGCAGATATTCTCTAAGGCTGGCAGTAAGTTCTTTTTAAGTCTAAGAACAGCATCAAATACTCGTCTAGGAGGGATGTGGCGAAAAATAAAATCAGTGATGGTGTAAGGAAGCCTGGAGTCACATCCTCCTTTTCGGCAACTTCCTGTTAACTGAGTAATTCAGAAAGTATATTGTCTATTGCATGATAGAACGGAAGCAATGCCATGGTTTCCACGAGACTCTGAAATGCCCAAGGGCCCTTCTTGAAGTGCCCCTATTGATGTGCAATAACCAGACCCTTCCTTGTGAATGGTGGGAATAGGCTGCCGTAATGATCTGCTTCCTGCAGGGAGGCCTGCGCCGCTGGAGCGCAGAAGCCGGCAATTCCGAACCAGCCAGAGCAAAACTGCCGGCTTCGAACTCCGACACCGGTGCAGAATCCCCACAGGCTGCGAGGACCCCCTTCCTTCCCTCTCTTCAGAGTGTGGGTACTCAACCTTTGGACTCATCCCGGTATCTCAAGCCCTTCCCTTCCCTTTGTTTGCTTTTTGTGCTGGGCAAACAAGAGGGCCCAGAAACTGGGCGGCAGCAGCAACAACTGTAACCCTCACTCTGGGTTCTGCTGGCACACACCGAGAAGGAAAGGATGGGCCAGGCCTCTCAAGTATTTCCCCCAAATAATGAAAGGCTGACCGGGATAAACACAGCCCCCGGCAGCCGCCAAAGAGGAACCCCTAGAACCCTTCTTACGCCCTGCCTTGTGCCTCGTCACTGCCCCCCTTGCCACTTCTGCTTCGGAAGGTGGCACGGAGTGGTCAAGCCCCTAGGAGAACGGCGTGGCTTATTCGCCCACCAGGAGACCTGGAAAAAACACCCCCCCCCAAACATCTCCTCCTAAGCTTCTCTTTCGCTTGTTCCTCACCTGCCTGTTTTGCCCTGAAAAGCAGGAAGAGACTGCAGGGGTGTAGCCAGAATATGAGCAACTTCTCCTTCTTCTTCTTCTTTGTCTCACAACTATTGTGATGCTGCTGAGTGGAAAGTGAACTAGGCAACATTAATAGCTGCCAAGAGAGCAATTAAGGTCAATGTGTAACCAAATGAGGGCTGCATTCATTCACCTTGTAAAGGAGCCAGGACAAAGGTGAAGGTCAGGTGCTTTCATATTCCAAACAGAATGCAAGTCATCCTGGAAACAGCTTAATCTTTGTGTCAAAAAATTAACCTTGGTGGCCAAAAGATTTTACATATGAAACAACAGTAAGAAATGCCACATCTTACCAAAATCTTTGACAGAGAAGGAACTGGGCCCTCTTAGGGCTGCCTCGGTCCTCTTAACTTTCATCAGTGAAAAGTATCTGCAGCTCAGAAAAACCAGCAATCTCCTGAACTGGAGACCACGATCAGCTAACACAGTAATTGTAGATTTTCTTTGCTTTCGGGATACAAACCCTTTCGGGATACTAGAGCAGCTTCCATTGCTCCTTTTCTAGTTTTGTATATGAAGGCTGCAACTCTGACCTAAATACGAAATGTCTCTCAGCCAGCAGGATGGAAGAGGCATGGAGAGCTCTCCATGGTCCAGCGACAGTTTCCTCTCCGCAGGCAGAAGCACCTGGGTGGCCTCTGCCAGGCTGGGAAGTCCTGCACAGATGTCTAGCCTGCCTGGTTGGCCCTGGCATGGAAGGCACCAAGGGAAGAGCCCTGCTGGAGGGGCGGATGACAGAAAGCCCCAGAAGGTGGCAGCGGCAGTACGGTGGCCAAGAAAATTAAAGTCACCCACAGAAGCTTACTTTTTTTTAAAAAAGAAATAATTACTTCATTAAAAGCTCATTTCCACAATATCCTGCAGTGGGCCACTCACCACGCCGGGGCCAGGTTTTCACTTGGCAAAAATTAATCAGCTTGGAAGATAGCAGACTAAGTTACAAGACAGACAAGCTACTTCAATGGGCATCATCCTAGCCGGCAATGGGGTCATTTAAATCCATCTGTTAGCATTTTTTCCAGTGCAGCAAAACCACTCCAAGCCTTGACATTTATACAGCAGCAAGACAAGCTTTTTTTTTTTAATTCCATAAATTATAACGCAATTCAGTTTCTCCACATTAGGAAAACATCCTTGTATTGTTTGTCATCAAAGCAAGGAAAACATCCAGGAATATCACTCATTGAATTCCTTCCTTGCGGAACAAATGAGAGGGTTTTCAAAGAAGAGTTGTGAAATTTCACTTTAAAACTCCCTAAACAGACTGGAATATAGGAAGTTTATTTGTTCTGGCCCAGAATGCCCTGGCCTTATATTACAAAACTACTCAAAGCACCACTGAAAGTACACAAATTATTCAACAATTGTTTAGACAGTCCAAAACAAATTCAGATAAAATCTTGGATGTTATCTAAATGTTGATTATACAATTTTGATGATGTAGGTCTTAGTAAGCATTCTCAAAGTTGATGGGGCTGAGATATTAAGAATGTTGTATTATTTATTACTTGTCTTAATTGCAAGGGACTTTAGGCAGTATAAGGGATGTAAAACATAGAAACAAAATACATCACAATACAAAGAAGGAACAGTAAACAGCAGCACAACAATTGAAACGTGCTGATTATTTTCAACCGGAGACAGATTTCTAACAGTCAACTGTTTTTGGCACAAATGTTTGCTCCAACACGTTTGCTATTAATGCAAGACATAAACTTTGCAAACATTGAGCTATTCCCTGGGCAAGCGCTGCTTTCTCTCTCTCTCCCTTATAAAACCCACCAGCTGAGACCTCTTTGCTTTAATTCATTTCTTGGAGAGGAGGAGACCGGGGAGCCGGGATCCTTTTAAGCCTGGCGCTTCTACACGACACGACATCCAATGAGGGTCGGTGCGGAATCGCCCTTCGCTCTCCAAGGGGGCTAAGGAGGCCAAACGGACCACGGGCAGAAGGTAAAAGGGGGGCAAAACCGAAAAGGGGCCTCGGAAGCCGGGAAGCCGAAGGCGGGGATCTCGGGCAAAGAGGCCGCCCGCTTTGGCCCGGCGGGGCTGGAGGAACAGCAGCTGCCAAGGGGGCGGGTGGGGGAGCCCCACGTGTGCGGGACCCCCTTTCAGAGCCGGCCCCGCACGAGGGGCCGCAACCCCCCCGGGGCGGTGCAGGCAAGAGGCAGGCCGGGCCGAAGCGGCCCCCGCCCGGGATACATGGGGCCAGCCCCCCCCCCCCCCGGCGCAGACCGGCCCCGCTCACAGGGAGGCTGTTGGGGGAGGGGCCCTTTATGGACACAGCAGGAAACGGGCGAAGCGGAGCCGCTCCGAGCAACCGGGGCGGGCGGAAGCCTTCGGGGCCCCGGACTCCAACTCCCAGCATGCCCCGCCCCGCCCGGCTCCGCTTTGTCGGGCTGGGGGATTCTGGGAGTGGAAGTCCGCCCTCCCGCGAGCGCCCCCCGCGGCCTTCGCAGCCCAGGCCGGAGCCCCTTTATGACAGCGCCGCCGCCGCCGCCGCCGCCCCCCACCCCGGCTGAGAGACCCCCGGCACGAGGCGCCCCGGAGGCCCGCGGGCGGGGAGGGTGGCGCGGGGGGGGGTGGCACTCACCGCTGCAGCACCACGAGGAGGGCGAGCCCTGCGGGAACTTGGCCGAGTCGGGCGCGAGGCAGACGCTGGCGCCCAGGTGCGGGCACTCCATGGCGGCGGCGCCGATGCCCGCCGGCCTCCTCCGCTCCTCGCCCTGCGTCGCCCCACGCACGCACGCACGCACACGCCGACGCACCGCGCCTGCGCCGCACGCGGACACCGCCGCCCGCGCTCCGCCTGCCGGGTTTTGCGATCGCGACGCCCAAAGGACACGCCCTCCCCCCCGCGGCGCCTCCCTTCCGGCCGCGGCTGGTCCTCCCACCGGGTTTTCTGCTCGCCCTCCCGCCCCTCGGGCCCAGGATCACTTCCGGCTGCGGAGCGAAGGCGAAGGGCGGGCAACGCCTGAGCGCCCCGCCCTGAACCCCCTGCGCGCGGCGAATCGCTTGTGCCGCGCTCCAGAGGCGGCGGCTGCAGTTCCCGGCTAGCCGCCAGGGGGAGCCGCTCCCGAGCCGGGTCTCCGCCGACGGGGGGCGAGGGGGGTGGGGCTCCTGCCCGGCTCCAGCATCCGGGACCCCCTGCCGAAGGCGCCTGGCCAGCGGGAGGAGCGCTGCCTCCTTCGGGCCCCGGGAGGGCAGCCTCCGCAGGGCCCCAGCCTGCCTCCCTTCGGGCCCCGGGGACCCCCCTCTGCTGCGGGCGCCCCGACTGCGCCCCTTTCCTCGGGCCTCGTCCGGCTCCGTGTTGCCAAAAGAGCCTCCGCGGTCCGCGTGGATGGTGGCCCGTCCTTCGTTTCCCCACCTCTCCCCCACCAGCCCTGGAGGGCCCCGGGGAGCCCTTTGCAGGGGCCCCTGGAAGAAGCCCGGAGGCGGTGGGAGCTGAGGGGCCCAAAGGAGAAGAAGAGCCGCTTCGCCCTCCTTGGAGCCGTCCGGTGTTTCCGGCTGGGAATCATGGGCCGCTGGAATTTGGCCTCGGAAAGGATACGACGGGGCCGTTTCAGGCCTCCCGGGACTTTCCTGGCAGGGTCCAGGGCCCGAGAGCCCTGGCCTGGCCTCCTTCGCTCCAGGCGACCCCCCCAGCCAGCCAGCCAGCCCGCCTCCCTCCCATTGAAGCACCTCTTTGACCGAGGACCTGGCCACTAATGACAGTGGCCGAAACCCAAACCTTCAAATGAATAACTCTGTCCACCTTTCTGGTCCTCCCTTATTTTCGCTCCAGGCTATAAAAAGACGCTTCAAACTTCAGAATTAGTTTCCCCCCTGTTTATTTTGGAAGAGCCGCCGGAGTGGATCTCAAGCGGTGGAAAGGCCCACTGACAACCCCCTCTCCAGCTCTGGGCCGGCTGGCGTGGCTGCCCTTTGCTCACCCATCCGAGGCCCTTTGCCTGGGCCCCGGCCAGCCCTAAAGCTTGCAGGGTATCCCGATTGTGGTCAGGGGTTTAGAGCAATCCCAAAACACCAGGAACCCCTGTGAGGGATCCCCTTGCTGGGTCCTTTTAAAAGCCTGTTGGAGATCGCCGCATCCCCTGGAAAAAGGGGCAAGATCTCCGGAAGGGCATCGGGTGACGAAAGATGCGCTGGGTTTGAACAGGGGCCCAGTCACGTTGCTTGTGTCGTGGGGTGGCGGAGAGGGCAGGGAATATTGGAGGGGAACCTCCAATCCACAATACAAAATAATAATAATAATACTGTGTTGCTATAAAAGAATTGATATCCAAGGGTCTTAACTATCCTCCCTCTTACCCAGGCTCAGCCAAATAATGCCAAGAAGGCCCAGGGGAGCGTCAGGCTGGCCGAGAAGAGCGCTCGCCTCTCGGCCATGTCCAGATGTTGGTTGGCTCTCAGCCATTCCCATTGGCATCTTCTCTCCCCGCTGAAGTCGGTGCCAGAGATAAAATGGGAATTGGGTGGAGTCCGCAGACCTTCCGTCAGGCTCTATTTTGAAACAGATGCTTATAGGTGCGGTGGGCAAATCACCCCAGACAAAGAAACTGCCGAAAAATAGAATTTCTCCCAGGAGGGTCTCACCTACCGGTGCTCAGGGCAGGGTTCTCTGACCAGATCCAAAGGAAAAAAAAAAAAAAAAAAAAAAAAAAAAAAACCAGAGTTGAGACCCGGGGCTCCTGGCTACAAGAGCAACACCCCCCCCCCCCCACACACACACACACACACACACACACACAACCTGCTTTTAATTGTTAAAGAAGAATGATGTATTGCTTTCAGTGCTAAAAATGTTGCCCTCTTTTTATGGCATTTCCTGTAATGTCGCCAAGACAATCCTAGGAATAGATTGACATTGAAATATGGTTTTCTCCCTGCAAAATATCGAACAAGGCTGGGGAATGTGGGGCAGGGGTCCCCACTTTCTCCCTCCTATCCCATATTTCTCCCCCCCCCCCCCGGACTGCTTCGAGGTTTATTGGTTGTGAGCAAGACTGGGGAGGCGAAACTGACCCACCCAGCCAGGAAGGCAAGGCCAGCGGAAGAAGGTCTCCCCAGAAACTGAGGGGTTCGCTCGCAGAGGCTTTTCCTGCAGGGTTGTGTGGCTCAAGGCTTTGGGGGAGGCATGCTGTAGAAGCAGGGGAGGCAGGGAGAAGACGGTTTCTTGAAAGGTGGGAACTGATGAGCAGCCTGGCTCCTCGGGGCTCCTGCAGAATTTCTACCCGCCAACCTTTCTCCCGGGAGGCCTCCGGAAAGCCCCTCCTGTAAGCCAGCCCCCGAGGGGCACCAGAGGCAG